CCCCCCCCACCCCGGAGCGCTAGTTTATTCGGCACGACCTTTTGGTGCCCTTCTGTTTTGTCCCTTGATTGGGATCCACAGCGATGAGGAAAGAAAAAAGTCGGGGGAAGAGTTGCGTGCAGCAGGGACAAAGAGCCAGATGATGGCAGCATTTCTGCAGCCTGTTATGACACAGGGGCCTCTGACGCATTCGCGTTAGTCATTCCTGTTTTTCATTCAACAAAAACATTTTTTTTTAAAGTGCAGCACGAGCACGAATGGTTATCAAAACCCACAGCAAAAAAAACAAGCATTTTTCTTTTTTTACATGGCAAAAGCTAGATATTGCAACACTTAACGTCCATAATTATTACCAAATGTGGACACTGCTGTCGTGTTGGATGGGAGAATACATGGTGTTGAAATAGGACCCATTGAGTTCCAGCTGGAGAGGAATACCCACAGGTTTAAATATAGGCCACAACGCTCCTTACATAACAAGCGGGACATCAGGGTTGTTTACACTCTTACTGCCTCAGCATTATCTTACACATTTCAAATCCTCATTAATCCAAATTGGCTTGTCAATCGCACTGTGACATAATAGTAAGGAGGCATCACTCGGCTGCAGTACGTAAGATCTATAAAATGAGTGTTGGGTGTGTGTGTTCTTGCACACACTTGCCTTTTACAGTTATTCAACGGGCTTGTGATTTCTGTTTCTACACAACGGGGCTGTTTGGAAAAGCAAAAGGGGGCGGGGGCTTCGCGCTCCTTGAATTATTCAAGCGGCCAATGGGGAGCGTCGGAGCCGCGTGATGGACAGGCACGGCCCCTGCAGCACGCGCCGCCCCCCTATGACTCTGTTTTATTCTGTTTTTAGAGCAGCAGCGTCACATGTTGTTTTTCTCCAGGATCAGATCAGTCCCCCGGTCTGGTTCCGGCTGCACTGTTGCTTCTACCGTGGCGGACAGAGGACGCAGCTTTCGGTGTCTGCGATGGATTAGATTTTTTTATTTTTTATTTTTTTAAACGTGCATCTCTGTGAAGTATTTATTTGCTGCAAGTAAAAGACAAGGAACAAGGAGCTTGCTTATCTGGAACCTGGGGGTAAAATAAGAGACGTGGAGAAGAAATGGCAAGTCCTCCGGTGACGGGAGCGCACCTGTTACCTAATGGGAAGAACGGCGTGAAGAAGTGCGGGTACCTGAGGAAGCAGAAACACGGACACCGGCGCTTCTTCGTGCTGCGCGAGCCAACCGAGCGCTGCCCCGCGCGCCTGGAGTACTACGAGAGCGAGAAGAAATGGAGGAACAAGTCCCCCGCGAAACGGCTCATAACTTTGGACTCGTGTCTGTGCGTAAACATGCGGGCCGACGCCAAGCACAAGCACCTCATCGCCCTCTACACCAAGGACGAGTACTTTGCCGTGGCTGCGGACAGCGAGCAGGAGCAGGAGAGCTGGTACATGGTTCTGACCGATCTAATAGCTGAGGGGAAAGTGTACGACAGTCCCGCTTCCACCTCCTCTTTAGTGGGCTTTGATGAAGCCAGCTACGGACTCATTGCCCCTGCAACAGCTGCGTATAAGGAGGTGTGGCAGGTCAACTTGAAATCCAAAGGTCTGGGTCAGATCAAGAACCTCACTGGAGTGTACCGGCTGTGTTTGTCCAGCAGGACCATCAGCTTCGTCAAGCTGAACTCTGAAGCAGCCGCTGTCAGTTTACAGCTCATGAACATCAGGCGATGCGGCCACTCGGACAGCTTCTTCTTCATAGAGGTGGGTCGCTCGGCGGTCACCGGGCCCGGGGAGTTCTGGATGCAGGCGGAGGACTCGGTGGTGGCGCAGAACATCCACGAGACCATCCTCGAGGCCATGAAGGCCATGAAGGAGCTGTCTGAGTTCAGGCCGCGGAGCAAGAGCCAGTCTGCCAGCACCAACCCCATCTCCGTGCCCACGCGGCGCAACCTCAACAACCTGCCCCCCAGCCAGACGGGCTTGGTGAGGAGATCCAGAACAGATAGCATGGCAGCAATGTCCCCAGGGAGAAAGTTTACGTCCTGCAGGATTAGAACGGCAAGCGAGGGGGACGGAAGCGTGACCCGGCCCGTGTCCATGTCCATATCTGTAAACGGGAGTCCCACCAGCCCAAACTCTGGGAACCACCTCATAAGGTCCCACACCCTCAGCAGCGGGCGCACCTGCAGAATGCTAGATTCCTCCTCCAACCTGCACCATAGCCGTTCCATGCCGGTGTCCAACTCCCCACCGGGCACCTCCAGCCCCATCAGCATGTCTCCCAGAGGGGGGGCCAGCATCTCCACTCCTGACAAAGCCAGGCGGCCTTTCAGCTGCAGCGCTTCAATCTCCAGCTCCCTCAGTGACACTGGCTTCATGCTGTGTGATGACTACAGCTCCAGCCCGGGTGAACTCAGATTCATCCCCCTGACCCGCAGCGACACCCCCGACTCTCTGTCCAGCACGCCCCCATCCCGCGACATCTGCGACCCTTGTGGCTACATGATAATGGAGGGGGCGAACGGGGCTGGCGGCGATCGTCTGGCACAGGACAAGGCTTACAGGAAACGGACGCACTCCCTCACCACACCGCGCCAACAGAGGGTGGTGGCGCCGCTGTCGTCGGCCTCCCTGGAAGAGTACACACACATGAGGATGGCCCACGGACTGAACACTCACTCCGCCTCGCCCAAAGTGTGTTACCCCGAGGATTACGGAGACATTAAAATCGGTTCGTCCAGGAGCTCCAGTAGTAACCTCGCCAGTGATGGCTACATGCCAATGACGCCAGGCGTGGCAGCCCAGGCGGGCAAGGTAGACAACTACATGCCCATGAGCCCCATGTGTGTCTCAGCACCGAAGCAGATTGTGAACCCAAGGGTGCATCCTCAGGCGCCTGCCGGCGGTGGCTACAAGACCAACTCCCCCTGCAGCAGCTCTCTAGAGGACAGCGGCTACATGAGAATGTGGTGTGGCTCCAAGTCCTCCATGGATAGCCCAGACAGGCACGGTGAATACATGAACATGTCACCTGGAAACCCACCTCCACTCCAGACGCCCCCCGACTACTACTTGGGCCTGCTCACGGGGGAACCAACATTCGTGAGGTCCGTCCAGGCCGGCTCCCTCACGCTCCCTGCTAAACTTCAAGCCTCCAAAAATGAGGAAATCAGCCAGTACGTGTTGATGAGCCCTCAGAGTTTGAGGCAGAGGGCGGGGGAGTCGGACTACTATTCAGTGATGCAGCCCAGTGCAGCACAGACCTCACCACTGAGCCCCTCGGTACCCTCCCCTGTCAGACTCGGCCGGGCGGAGAACCTGGCCTACAGAGGGCGGCTCGGCAGGCCTAACCGGCTATACCTGGACACCCTGAGGACCCTGCCCAGCATGAACGAGCACCCCCTGCCCGGAGAACCCCGGAGCCCCGGAGAGTACATTAACATTGACTTCAGCGGCATCAGATTCTCCCCACCCTCCGTCGTCTCCACAGAGAGCCAGTCTTCATCGGCGGACTCCAGCGGCGGGGGCGCGGGGAGGTCCTCTCTGACAGACTACATGAACCTGGAGCTGGGCTCACACTCACCCAAGGAGACTGACACTCCCGCTGAACACTTGGACACACTCCCAGAGTTATCCATGTGCTCAGAGGAGGGTGGAGCATACCATCTGGAGAGTGAGAAAGGGTCTCAGGGCCTCGGTGATGAGGTGAAAAATGACTACACTGAGATGACATTTGGGATGACCAGCTCCCCTCCACAGCTTGTTCCTCACAACACAGCAAGGTATGTGTAACTGTGCTGGGAGGGAATGATTGAATATCAGCAATGATGATGTGAATCCAGATATGAAGCACTATCCTCCTTTGATTTCCTCTTAATAAATGTATACTGGTGGTAACAAAAAGCATAATTTCAAACCTTTGGTTAGCATGAATGTGACTGTAACCATGTCATATGTTGAACTTTTTTCCCCAGCTTCCAGAGCAGCAGGGAGAGCAGGCTCTCTCTGGAAGACCAGGGAGTCCCAGAAGGCATCGGGGCCTTCCTGCTCGGGGCCACCTCCTCCTCCACAGTGGACCCCGACTGCTCCGCCAAGGTAATCCGGGCCAACCCGCAGGGGCGCCGGCGCCACAGCTCCGAGACCTTCTCCTCTACCGCCACCGTGACGCCGGTCTTCCCCTCCTTTGCCCGCGGCGACGCGATGAAGAGGCACAGCTCGGTGGAGAACATCTCGTCCCGGAGCAGCGAGGGCTCCGACGAGGAGTACGGCAGCCCCGTGAACCGGCAGAGCTCGGCCGCCTACCCGAACGGGCTGAACTACATTGCCTTGAACCTGCTGGACAACAGGGACGTGGAGAAATGCGAGGACCTGGCCGGCTTCAAACCCACCAGCAGCTGCAAAGGGGGTATCAATGGATTACACAGCTCGCCATATGTCTGTTTGGGATTCAAGGAGGCTGCAACCACTGCCAAAGGTGAGTGAGGCCCCTGCCGGATGTGTGCAAAATAATGTATCTGAACTTTCAGCTTAAAGTCCGGATGCTGTTCTTGTTTTGAATGAGGGAAGACCCTTTTTTTTTTTAATCATCTATAACCCCCCTGGTGATATAAAAAGTTTTACTGTGAAAAAAAGAGAGCTGCAGCTGGCAGCTAAATGGAAGAGAAGAAAAACAAAGATGAAGGCAAACTTGTATTTCCTCCAGAAATTCAAACTAGGTGGTGCTGATGTAGCCTTCAAGTGCTGCCCTTAAGCTCCGACTTCTGAGTACTTTCATATCAACATTTGCAATTAAACAACAGAGTGCTATGAGGTGTCAGGGTCGAAAATGAAGAGTGGTTGCGTTGCAATAACATGGGTTTTTTTACTGTTTTTTTTTTGTTTTGCCTCATACTTAGTTGGTCCTCCCACTATTTCCCCACAACACGTGAACGCAGCACAAACGTGACCAAGCTGAGAGCTCTGAAGTAAAAAAGCAGGAGGCCTCGCTGCTGCTGCCGATACTAAAAAAAAAAAAAAAAAAAAAAAAAAAGTAGATATTGGAATTCCACCGACGCTTATTATGAATGAAAGTTGTTTGCGTAAAAAAAACCAAAGACACATTAGAGATGTATTAAAAAACATATTAGATCACAAGTATTGGTAAGGCTCACTGAGCCTCCGGCTGTTTTTCAGTCGGGTGGGCTTTAGGTTGAGTTGCACCACAACGTGAGCCTTACAGACCTCTTATTGCATAATCAATAACCGCGTCACAGAATATTCCAGTGATCCAAATAGCAGACGGTGTAAACAAGGAGGAACAGCGGACACGTTTCGACCCCCTCCCCTCCCCTCCCCTCCCCGGTCGTTGGACACCGTGAGCTCACGTGTGTTCGCGAGCACATGGAAGTGGCTGTGCGTGGCAGTGCGTGTCCGTGCTTGTAGGCGGCGAGAGGGAAAAACAACCAAGTGGGCGAGTTGCTGTGCGGCCATCAGGTAACTGGATGTCATGGTCCACCTTCCTGCCCCCCCCCCCTGCGTATACGGAGAGAGAGAAGTTATATTGAGTTTTATTTATTTTTTTAACGCAGCACAGAAAAATAAGTTATTTGCACAGTCATGTTCAGCCACGGCATGGAAAACCAATGTTTCATTCATGCACGCTTTAAATTAGTTGACATTATTATCAACGTGGCTCCAGTGAAAACGGTTGTCTCTCAGTTAAAATGAGTTCATTTACAGCAAAACGGCTTTTTGTTTCCCTTTTTTTTTTTTTTAAATCTGAGCTGCGTGGGTTCGCACGTGCTTCACACATGTTTCGATGGAATACAGATATACTTTTTTTTGTTATGGCGCTGATAAAGCTTGGATGCAATTCAGTAGGGAGAGGGAGAAAACAGTCGAGCACATTCATGTGGACTGTAGCACGTACGCATGCAGTCGGTGGGGGGGGTGTTTTTCTCCAGGACCTTTTTTTATTTTTCTTCCTCCAGTGGCATAGTGTACATTCGTGAAAAAAACACTTGGCAGAGAGAGAGAGAGTAGCCTGTTGTGTTTTCCAGCGCCTGACTGTTTGTGGGGGAGCGAATGAATGCCTGCATAGCGGGGGGGATGGCACGTGCACGCCACTTCTGCCTCATTAGGCTGTTCACTTACCAGAAGTAAGACAAGCAGAGAGGGGGGGGGGGCGTGGAGCACAGCCTTGTGTGCTCAGTAGAAAGAGGTGGGGAGGTTCTTTTTAGTTTTTTTTTTTTTTTTAAAGCGACAAATAAACATGCCTGGTGAGGCCGCCCTTTCGACCGAGGTGCATTCTGGGAGCGTTTGCACCGGCGGGCCCCGATGACTTGTTTACTGAACGCTCAGGCCCACTGCTCTGTGGGGCGAAGCGGGGTAAGGGAGGTCACAGTGCGCCGGGGGCCCCACTGGCGGAGGGCTTTGGTTTTCGTGTTCATCAGGACGTCCCACTGCCCCCTATAGACCCCTCCACCTCGAGCTTCACAACGGTTCCTATGGGTGACGTCACGTGGACTAAATCCATATTTTATTCTCTCTACGGTGGTGGAATGCCAACACTCTGCAGGAAGATCAAAGTGCAATCAGTCCCAGCTGCTTCCCCCCAGACCGCCCTCCTTCCTCATCAATGAAACCCTGAATAAGCTCTTGACAGCTGGATAAGTTCTTTCGGTGCTCCACCTAGAGTCGGCTTAGGCGCTCTTAACGCCTGGCACACGGGTCAAAGTGTTTGTTTACCTCTGTTCTCCGTCTCCTCGCCGTAGCTCAGCCAGGTGGATGTTCTGTACCAGACCCAGATTAGCCAAGTCAGCCGTTTCCGCTTCCTCGTCTGACTAATACCTTTATCTGGAGCAGGCGACGACCGGCCGCAACTCCTGTCTTCACACACATGCAAACACCCTAATTTCCCTTCCCTTGACCACACTAGCATGTAAAAGCATCCATGCCATGTCTCTTTCTTTCTTTCTCTCTCACCCACACACACCACCCTCTCACGAATGACCCCCCCCCCCCCCCCCCCCCCCCCCCCCCCCCGCGACTCCCCCCCCCCCCCCCCCCCAAGGATGCAGAGAGCACGACCATCAGCATCGTGTGTGTGTGTAATTTGTCGGCCAGATGAGAGGCATTCGTGTGTCCATCGACTCAGAGCCCCGCTTCCACTCGTCGTCATTCACCCAGTAGTAGCGCGAGTGATGTCATCACAGGGGGTGGGGAGGCGGATCCGCGTGCACCCGGAGCGTGATGCGTGCACACCAATGTTACTTTCACTCCCTGTGTTATGTGTTTTGCGTTGCGATGTTAACGGGAGCGAAAGGGGTCCAGCCTGCACAGCCATGCATCCCTAACTCGCTCTGAGCATGCTCGGTAGATGCGGCTGTCACAACAAGGTGATTTGGATGACATCATCTTTTTTTGGGGGGGGTATTTTATAGACAATCTGCTGCTCACACACACTTGATACTGAAACATTTTGCATAAAGGCTGCATTGATAAGTTTTCCACTGCTGGAATTTTGGCCAACATTGTGATTTAGTGCGGCCCGTGTGGCTCGTTTTTGATTTTCCACACGTCACACTTTATTCTGGTGTTACTCGTAAAAAAAAAAGCCTGATGCTGCGTCCCCTGCACACCGGCTCAAACACACACACACACATATATATATGCTGAATAGCTTATTTACGTCGGCGTCAGACCGGCGTTGAAGCCGAGATCCTGCAAACATAACAACCCAAGCCAGGAAATCCAGAAATGCCATGTTACTTGATATATGGAGAACAAACACACACACGTTACACCGCGGGGCTCTTGTGTCAGAGTTTCCAGGCAGCATATGTGTGTGTGTGTGTGTGTGTCATTGCACAGGGGGGGGAGGGGGGTGCTAAAGTAGGACGGGATGTTCCAGACAGAAGCGCTAGCTGCTACATAACTGCGTGGCCAGCGTTCCCCACGTTTAGCCAGCCACGGCTCCAGATGAGATTACAGCCTCTGCTGGCGAGATTAGAAAGGCCAGTGGGTAGATCAGCGAGGGCCGGCGGCTACTCCGCGGACAGCAGCTGGCCACTATGCGACGCGAGGTGTGGGCAATTTGTGTCGCTTTAGCCCCCGTCCACGTCCCAGCTCACAGTAATTGAGCATCGAACCAAAAGAAATCTGTCTGAATTGGCTATAAAAAGATAAAAGCATCAGCCAAACGGGGATATCTTCTCTGTGTAAGTAGGTGAACTCTGGATGTCTTAAAGGGACAGTTAACCTTCACCACAAAGGCAGAATGCCATGTAGTCGCATTCTATTCAAGAGACATCTCTATGGCCAATATCTCCCTTTGAACTGTCCTTTTTTAATAGTAGATTATGTAAGATGCAGGGGACTTGTCTCTGGATTTAGTGACTTAACATCCAGTGTCCTTAACTGCCCTCCAGCCTTCTCTGTTTATCATTTCACCGTTTAAAAATAGAATTGTGATGGGGCTTTTGCAAGAATGCTCCAAAACTGGCAACTTTTCAGGACCGAAGAGGAAAAAGACAGCCTTGCTCTCAGGCTTCCAGTTGATCCAGTGTCCCTCCCTCCACTCTGCTTGCGATGCCCCCGACCCCTTGTCCACACACAGACTGTCAACAGTGGCCAGACAATCAATGCAAAACCAATGCATCGTTAGTTTCTCTCTGTGTGTGTGAGATGCGTCAGCTACTGTACTGGTAGCTGGTTCTCCTCCGCTCAGCCCGTGTCCATAGCACCACCCCCCCCCCCCCTCTTCGCTCTATCCCAGATTATGTAATAACGCTCGCTGCTCCGCCATCCTTCAAGCAGCTTCCGCTGGCAAAACAGCTGGTGTGTTAAGAAACGAACACACACCATCTAACCACCTGGACATTGGTTAAATACTGTCATTACACACGCGTAATGCACATGAAACATTCAGGTTAGCACATCCCAAATCCCTCCTATTCAACACGTGTGTGTGTGTGCGTGCAGCACTCTCTGTTCTTGTTGTTCTTGTGTCCCTTGTTATTGTGGCACAGAAACGGCAGCCTAGTCTGAGTCCGAATGAGTTCACAGTGTATGAGACTGTTCTTCTTTAAGAAATGTGTTTACGAGCGGGTCTTATAGGCAGTCGGTGAGGGCAACGCACAAACAAGATTGTCAACGTACCAACGAAGGCAGGAAAGAAGAAAGTTTCACAGTGCAGCTTTAAGTCTCCATGTAGAGTTCATCACTGGTGGCCTTTAGTTGGTCCAAATGTATTCATTCACAAATGCTCATCCTATAGTTAAAGCCATAAGAGTGTTGTAATGATATTTCCACTAACTCCCTCTTTTTCTCCGTGGCCGTCTCTTTCAGACTGAAGGACCCCTCTATCCTTTGAATTGACGTCTTCACCGACCTGCTGCTCAGAGAAAGAAAAAGAGTCCACTCTGCCCGTCCACTGGGCTCTGTGGCCCTAAAAGACTGTCTGGACCCTCAGCAACAATCATACACACACACACACTTAGGAAACAAGCAGGTCACCGTCTATGCATGTCATGAATTTCGCTGAAGGCAGGACAAGTGTGTTTGTGTATATGTGTATGTGTGTGTGCGTCTCATGTTTCCTGCGCTTTCAGAGGCCCTCTCACCTGTGACCTACATTTTGGCGCAAGCACAGAAGCAAAGATAGTCAGATCGTAACAAAACTCTAATGGTACCCAGATTCTATTTATTTACCTGAGGGCAGTTTTATGACTGCCTTGTGTGAGTGCGAGTGTGTTTCTGAGACAAAGTACAACTAACCGGTATGACAATGAACAAAGAAACTTACTATACAAATGGCCCAGGGAGCGAGGATACCAAGGTACACGGAGAATATAACTATATTTAGATTAACAAGTTATTTATTTTTGGAAGATGAATGTCTGATAAGACCTACCCAATGCCTTAATGTCTATACTGTCTTTATGTTTTCTATGAAATAAGAGATAAATATTCTATTACGGTATGTCTGTTTGGACCTACATCTCTATATTGTTGTTCTGTTGTGGAACTTAAAAAGCTTACCAGTAAAGATATTATTTCAGAAATATACAGCACAGTGGGGCTGCTTGAGATCTGATTTGCTGTATTGATATTAAAGTATTTTCTTAATTACTAATTTCTTATTTATTGTAACTTAAGTTTTTTTTGTCCAATCAAAGCGCTGGACTTAAAGAGTTATATTTCTAAATGTCGTTAAGCGTTATGCATGTCTTTATAACTCAGCTCAGACCCCACAGCACCAGGCATCTGAATGCACTGTACCTCCCACAGTTCCTCAGTCACTTGAGCCCCTAAGACCTCACACACTCCTACCTTCATACCTGTACGGCCTGCCGTTGAGCTTGATGCAGGCCACTCTGCTGTGATATCATTGGACGGTACAATTGTATAGTTGAGGTGACGATGGAGGGGGTGGAGCCGATGAAAAATGACACGTTTGGGGCACAGTGGAGACGTTTTTCTGGTCAACCAGTATCGGCAGTGCTGGGCAATCGCTGACAAAGTAGAGGTAGACAGGCCAACACATCTGGCACCATCATGGAGGGTCACTGGAAAACCAGCTGTCTGTAAAATATAGCTCTATTGCAGACAAAGAATTTGATCTAGCTGAAGAGAATTACGTAATGTTACAAGCTAAAGCAAAACTATGTAACTAGCCTATATCACTAAGTGACACCTATGTAACTACAATTACAGGATAATGCTAAAACAAATTATAATATTAGCGCACAAGAAAAACAGCAGCCACTGTGGCCACAAGTAGCAAGCTATTTCAGGATAACTATAAAAGCCAACAGATTGCTACTATTAGCTAACAATAGCTAGGCTACCATAAGCTGGGGTGTTTCACTACTCATAAATTCAACTTTTCAGTAGTTGGAAGAAGATTGTCTTATAGCCTTCAAAAGATACACAGTCTCGGAAACTAAAACTGTGACTCTCCGAAATGGCCGCCAGACGTTTAGTTAACATCAACTGAAAGCCCTCTGTAATGTCCTGACTGTTTGGTCCTCGAGTCGTCCACTGTGCCAACTCCAACAGGCTCACAACCCCCTTTATTGTACATTAGATTGTAAAACTTTTAACCATGTCTGAATGTATCGCTGAGCTCGTAGGAACACCACATAAACATATCGTGGGTAACTGTTTTTGACAGAGTTGAATAATATTGGAGCTGTACCACGCTAAGTTGTGGTATCTATTTATCTACAGAGTCTTGAATGTGTATATTGTGTACATAGAAGAGTTTAACTAAAAACAATCTATTGACAATACATAGTTCTTAGATTTTACCGATGTTGCAATGATATTCCTGTGTAAAGATTTTGGCTACCGATTTTTAAAAAGGGGATCGGGGTTTTTGCTTTTGGGGTTGTACAGTGTATTGTATGCTTTTCTCCCTCACAGTCCGACTATATGAAAAAAATACTCTGTCTATTTTATTATAGCGATCTCTTGGCCTTGTTGACTCACTTTACCTAATGGCATATGCAATAGTGACATGAATACAATCTAGTTTACAACCGTGGAACCAAATGTAACTTTACATTGATGATTTTTTTTTTCCTCTTGTGGCGAGCAGAAGCTGTTTTGCTCCTTGTACATTTCTCTTTCTGCCAAGTGTTTTGTTTTTTTGTCGCTGGGAACTTTGTTCTTCACGTGTCTCAAAGCGCTTTACCCATTTCTGTGACCATGGACAGACAGACTGATCTTGGATTGACTCAGTCTGAATGCGTCGTTGTCTTCCATTGTACATAATTCAATATACTGTTTATTGTGATGCTCACAAGAGATGATTATAATGATTTATAAATTCTGGTAGTCGAGTATTGCTTTCGTCTGTATCGATTGTGGATAGCATCCTACAGAAATAAATGAATTTATTTAAAGAGGTACAACTTTGTCTTTGTTTATTTCCACAAATAATATATCATGCAGCCTAAATGACAAATAGAATAACTGTGGTGTACTGTTAGGGCCTTCTAAATACACTGATATGAAATTACAAATATATATTTTTTATATGAAATACCCATTTCTAGCCCTACAGTAAAGATGCAAAATCATTTATACTGAAATGTTTTAAAGCAAGACTTTGTCACTTTTGCGTAATATATTTCAGAATTGTGTATGTAATATATCCATCATAATATCTAAATAATCATTGAATCATATCACAGGTAGAGGGGGAGTCATAAAGTCAGCAATACAGCAATATCCATCTAAAGTTTGCTAACGTGCTAACATTAGCTACCGTAAGCTACTGGTCATACCAGACCAAGTGAGGTTGTAGCAGCAAAGCCACTGAGTGTATTGAATTGAACTAGTATTAATTGAACCAGGATTAGTTTATTGCTTATAAATTCAACTTTTAATTTGTAATAAGAAGAATGTTTTTGAATTATATAATCTTCCCCTAAACCACTAGTTATGAACCTCACAAGACTCCAAATCCCATCCTGCCCCTTTTCTTCTCCCTCCCTCACCAGAAGGTAATGCATTTGGCACAAAGTCTAATAGCTTCCTGACTCTTTGTCTAGAGAGGCGGATATCCTACTGTGCCCCCGATCTGCGGAAGAATGAGGAGTTGAACTCTCCGGACGACACTTTCCCTCTCCGCAAGTGTTTTTATTTCAGACGGAGGCCGAGGCGGGAAGCTCATACTGAGCCAATGACTTCCTGTCAAGCCACGCGTCTCCAGAAGGGCCTACGTAGTCAGAGTCTGGAGGTCAACAGGTTTGAAGCATGAAGTGAAGCAACACATTTCACCTACTCCCACACACTCACATGCAGCTGTTACACAGGGACCTCGCGTTTCTTTGCCATGCACGTGTTCATTGTAAAATATAAGAATATTTTCTATTGACAAGGTTGACTTAAAGGTTCAATTCACACATTTTTTCCAAGTTTTTGAGACTTTTGCTCTCAATGACGAATGTAGTTGTGGTTTTTAAAAGAATAGTTTATGTTGCGGAAAGTTAGATAAGCCTGACACCACGATAATGTCTGTGCGTTACGTACGGAACTGAAGCTAGAGGAGGTTTAGCCTAGCTTAAAGTAGCTGGAACTAAGGGGAATACACTTAGCTGCACAAAAACAGTTTTGTTGTGTATCAAGAAGTAGTACAGCATGTTTCCACCTTAAACCACAAACATGCTGGTAGGGAGATATTTGGTCTGGACATAGCCGGGCTAGCTGTTTAACCCCGGTTCCAGTCTTTGCTAAGCTAGGCTAACTGCTAACGTGCAGCCTCACGGAGCCGCAAGCACGGCTTTAGACTGTAAGTCTTTGTGAAGGCTCAGTTGAAACAGGTTTGAAACTCAGCGTGGTGAGTTAGTACACGGGCAGGGGAAATGTGAGAATAGGAACTGGCTAACATTGTGACATGTGTGTCTAGTCAGCCAGTTTGTCCCCTTAAAACACGGAACCCTCTAAATTATGAAATATATCCCACACTCACAATGTGATTATGATGCAGTTGCTTTAATATTCTCTGTGGGCATCAAGTATCTCCAGTACAGACACAAAATGAACACACACACAGGCACTGAGGGGACACCTCTGACTGGTGTGTATTAATTAGCAGTATGACACTGTCAGTGGGGCAGCAGAGAAGAGCCTTACATAACCCCACCACCAAGCCACCAGGAGGAACATAGTGTTCCTCACCCTTCTCGGCACTGACTGTCCGTCTGAAAAAAACCTTCCCTTTTTGTTTTTTCTGTATGGGCACATTTGTGCTCCCAAGGCAAACCGCAGGAGGACACGAAAGCAGAAGTCTTTGTGGCATGATGCCTTTGTGGTCGCTGGTTGTTGCTTGTTTGACATAAAGGACAGATTGCTAAATAACAATGTCATAGAAGTGAATTTCTCAAGCCTGCGCAACAACGGTTTAAAGGTTCCCAAAATAGAGTTTACAGGATGCTGCTTTGAAGTAAATGTGTGTGTGTGTGTCTATCTGATCTATTCCTGGATGCCCTCAATTATTCCCAAATTTAGAATCCCATTCACAATCACATGCTTGTATACACACGCAGACAAACGAGGAAAGAATTCCTAACAGCAATCTACGTCATCGCCGTGCGATTTGGAGGCTCGATCGTCTCCGACTTGTGACGAGCTCTTAGAAGTCTTTGGAGATCGAGAAGTTGTCCAATTTCCATTGACATCGAGTGCCATGCGTTCCTTTTCAAAAGGGGGAATATGTAAAGACTGTATTCGTTAATTGGATCGCAAATACACTGCAAGAGCAATCAAATAAAAATGTTTTTCTTATAGCAATATATCAACTTTGAAATCTGTCATTGATAAACAGGTCATCTGCAATCATGAAACAGGAAGAGTGGCACCGAGAATCAAACCCCCGTAGGCTACCCCCTCCCTGACGCGTTCGTGCCTTGTTGTTCAGAGAGAGGCCGAACTGGAAATAATCTTGTGATACTGAACTTTAAACAGTATGTACCCTGTGGACTCGATGCACCCGCCGTACATTGGAGCAGCATGTGTGGTATGCGCTGTAGATTAGGGTCTTATAGCTGCTCCTTTGGCAACCCTGAGCTCCACTGGGCCTCCCTCCCTGCCAGCTTGCCGCCGTGCTGTGCTGCGGCTCTTGAGGGGATTGAGAGTCGCTGGCCCCATTATTTCTCCCTGAATCAGCCTAAGGAGGGTTTTCAGCCGGGACTCACTGAACTTCACCGCGCAGCAGCAGCAGCAGGGCGGATCTGTGACCCACTTACAGTAGCTGACTCTCCACAGAAAAGAGAGGACAGAGGCACACAGAGCTGGTGAGCCCACATGAAAACATAACATACTGACATATATTTTTTTGAAACACCGCACTAAATCAAAATACTGGCGAGAATATATTTGCTTTTGTCATGCAAGCGAAGACGTTCGTATCTACATCAAGGGACCACATGGCCTTCCACCGGTTGATAAAATGCTGCTGTGCTGGATTTTTCAAACATGAAATATGCCATAAGCAACGTTTGTCATTTAAGAGGCTCCTAGTAGTTCTGTTTGGACCTTCAAGTACTCAAGGAGGTGGAAAGTACAACTTCAGCTGAAGGAATAAAACAAAGCATTGGGCAAATTTAGAACTTTGACTCGATAATGGGACCATAATTTACTAAATTAAAATCATGCTGTATCGAAGAAGACTTGAAACTAGACCATTTACAATGTTTACTGAGGTAATAAATCAAGTGGGAAGTAGGATCATTTTCTCAAAGACTTCGATACAATCGGACTACATTTCACAACCGGAGGAGTCGCCCCCTGATGGCCATTAGAAAGAATGCAAGTTTAAGGCACTTCCGCATTCGCTACCCTTTTCAGAATTGGAGGTTGCCGCCTGGAGGGGATCACCTAAATCAGTAGGATTCTTCCTTTAGGGATCCGGATTAGCTGTACAAAAATGGTATGATAAGCCATTCGATAGCTGTTGAGTTATCTCAGTGTGGACCAACAGGCCGACATTGCCATCCCATAGAGCCATGCTGCTATAAATAACACAGTTGGTCACACTGGAGCCTTTTCAATGACGTCTATCAGGAAGTTTGAAAAATACAGTAGAAACATAGAGAAGAAAAACTATAGGATGCAATGTTTGCTTCTGCTCTTCTGGTTTGTTTTGTCTCTAACTCGTCAAAGAGCAGAAAGAGAACTGCAGGAAGTGAGAGGAGAAGTTATTGTGATTATGCAACACAGGGATGCACAACGAAATTCAGTTGTTGCCCATTTGTAACATAACAAGCACATGTCAAACAATACAAAAACAGTAGTACATTCCTGTAGTCCATATATTGAATTGGCATCATAAGGAATGTAAACAGCTGCAACAAATACAATTGTCTGTGCAGATAATATGGCCGACATCTTCACATTAAAAATTAAACATGGGAAAAAAACATTGTCCATCAATGTCGTCCCACCGGAGTCCTGCTCTCTGTCCTGCGGTCCACCCGTCAAGTGCAGCTTGATCCGGGATGAACAATGGAGCCAGGTCTTCGTTAAGATGTGGGGTCAATAATCACTGACCGATGCCATTAGTGGTAAACACAAAACAAATAAAAGACAAAAATGTAGCGAGATTCCATTGCCACAGCAAATCTTGATCAGTTACCAAACCGCACTCTCTTTAACCTCCTTCTCCTGGAGCAACAACAGCACTCTAAGTTACATGGAGGTCAACGGGTCAATCAGCCCTCATGCATTCTCTCTGGTCCTTTTTGGCTTTTATCAGCCATCACTTCTGCATGCTTGCCCAGACCAGAAAGCTGCCTCGAGGCAAACAATCTGGACGCTTGGCTTCGTATCTGAAGACTGGGGTGTTTTTCATTTTGATGAATACCAGGGAAAGATTCTGGGTCGAGATGTCTGCTTGAGAGCCTCACGGGCCACTATTGTCTTGAGCTTGTCTCTGCTCAGTTTGACTCAAGCCAAGGTGGTTTAAATTAGTAGATTTAATGATCAATGAGGCTTGAGTAGCATTATCTGGTACTCATTTTTCAACTTAGAATACTCAAAATCTTTTTCATTGTCTCTTAGGATTCTTAACTATATAATAAGTGAAAAGGTTTCAATGAAGTGGTTTGACGGATACATTTTCTGCCTGTGAGGGAGCCTGTACATGCATGTGACTATGTGTGTGTGTGTGTGTGTGTCAATGGAAAGTCTTGGCAGCTCTGAATCTCTTGGTCCGTGGCATTCAGACTCCACGTATCTGGACAGCATGCGGAGCCCATGTCCCGCCCACTGCTCACAAACACTCCTGCTGCTGTTTACCACGCCGGCAGTGGAGTGGAAGACTCCAGCCTGCCCGGTCCACATGTCGCCTTATCAGCCAACACTCTCTCGCGGCTCGTCAACATGTTTTGCGAAGGAAACACTCTGA